ATTAGCCCTAGATTGGGGGAACAACCTTCCCCACATCATCGCAAAACCCAGCAGGACCACCCAGGCCATAGGAAGAAGCATGGCAGGACAGAAACCGAAGAAGTGCAAAACCTCTTTGATAAATGAGGGAAGGAAAAACCGTAGCCCCAACAAGAAAGGAGCCTCAAAGAAACAGGCCTTATCCCTGACCAAGCAGTGAAATCGACGTATATCAGCATTATGCACAATCACACCAAGCAGAAATGTCAAAACGCCTAGCAAGAGAATGAGCCTCTTCCTCCCCGATCTCACTAATCTCAACATCAGGAAAAAGACGTTCCATAACATCACGAGGGAAGAAAGGGGCCCTGGCCATGAAAACAGAAGAAAAATATTTTCCCTTGAAAGCACCGAAGAAGAAGAAGTGTCACAACAACAGAAAAAGCAAAAAGTTTTGGCGCCCAAGGCAAGACAATCATTCTCCGGAAATGCTCGTTTATAACTTCAGCTAACATGCATCCATCATCTCCGCCAGAAGCAATTAATGCACATCTCTCGCATTTAAGAAAGGAACACGTGGAGTCATGGGGGTCACCGAAGCATCACGATCGATGAGCCACTAGCGGCACACGTTCTTAAACAGACGAAACCGTCATGTCTGGAGTACGAAAAAAGAATTTTGAAAAGACCAAGATAGCCCTAGGGTTAATAGGAAAACGCTCGAAGGGGCAAACACGGGAATATAGGTTGAGTTTGCCATCTCGCCTGGTTTACGATTAACCCACCTTAGAAAAGAAACGAAGTTAACTCAGCTTTGCTAAGGGGGTTGTTGCAAACAGCCTAAGTCTCGCCTTTATCACGACCACCCAAAAAATGACTTAAGAACCATAGTTGGGAGCCTCAAAGTCAACAAACAACATCATCATTTCCATGCGACAGAGCCAAAGACGAACATGTCATTCATAGGGAAAGAGAAACCAACAACAACATCCCTATTTGAAAAATCATGCTAAGATTTAATCCGAAAGTTACATCAGCATTTAGAAGAAAATAAAGTGCTACAAAGGTTTTCAGCGAATCACAGAAAAACAAAAAAAAAAAAAAAAAGGAAAGAATCGACCACGGGTCCACCTCAGGAAGCTGTCTCGTCGCCACCACTAGCTCCTTCGTTAGCTGTTTCAGCTAGGACATTGGGCACCTCAAACTTAGTCACCTGGGAAACGACAACCCCCTTAGCACCCGGTGCCTCAACCTGTTCAGCTGTCACAGTTCCCTTCTTGTACTCAAGCCGCGGCGCAAAGGAATGCAAGTCGAGGTTTGGGTGAGCATCCTCAATCTGGTCCCTACAGTTCAGGAACCCTTTCACAAAGACAGAGGCGCCCTCTCTTAACAACTCAGACACCTGGGCCCGTAAAGACGACAACTCGGAATCCTTAACCTTCAGGTCGACATCTTTAGCTTTGATTTCATTCTCCTTGGCCACAAGGTCTGCATCTATAGCCTCAAGCCTGGCCTCCAAGCCCCCTATCTACGACTCTTTGAGCGTAATATGGTCCTGATAGTAGGAGTCCAACTCATTGTTGATCCTCTTCAGCTTCGCGACCTCGAAAACCAGAACCTTCAGCTTCCCCTCAGCAATAGCCTTGCTAACTATCATGACATCGAGAGCATCCTTGGCCTTCTAGAGATCCTGCTCATGGTGAAAATCCAGCATCTTCATGCAGGCGAGCGACTATGAAAAGAAAAAGAAGATTGGTCAACACAAGAAATAGGAAAGGGATTAAAGAACGACTAAGAGCATAGATGGAGCAAGAAAGTACCTTGGCCAGGCCTTGGATGGTGTGCTGGATTTTCCTTTTAAAATGAACCTCCATGGCCAAATGAGGATCTGACGTGGAGATTAGCTCAGATAAGGTAGCCACCGCGGCCTCAAGATCGCGAAGAAAGCCACCCCCATGCACTTTAGACTTGGAAGGGGCAAACTTCCCCTTTCCACCCTTCGGAGAAACAACTTTAGATGAGACAGGATGGGGTGCCGAAAGGCCGAGCTTGTCCGCTGAAGCCCCCTCAGAACGGGTGTCACCCTTGGGAAGTTCAGAAGAAGGCAGAGGCACGACAACATCCCCTCGAGAGGAAAGGTCCTCACGTTTCTGTTCCGAGGAAGTGGGCGTGGGCCCAGAGACCGATGCCTCCTTGGATGGCAACTGAGATTCCTTCACCAATTTCCTCCTCTTTCTCGATTGCTCGGTATCCGAGAACAGCGGCATGATCAAATCCTAGTCCATGTTATCCGAATGGGAGGCAAAAGATGGTACAATCTCTAGAACTCGGATAATGGGCGATCCCAACCCATATTTAGCAAGGTTTTTGTCGGTCGCCAATTCGAAGAAAGACCTCAACCCAAAGGTCTCTATTCTAGCAACTCGGGCTGCCTCCTCCATGCTAAGTGTCGGGCAGAATTCTGTAAACTAGATTAAAAGTTAAAAACAATAAAAAGGGGGTAAAACAACAAAGGGAAACGCGGCCAGTAGATTAGCCTTACAAGTATTCCTTGGAACCCTCCAAGATCTGGGGACACATGGAGCGTCGCCAGGCTCCCCTGACAGCTCCCAGGAATCGCCCCTAGCAAAAAAGAACCTCAGTTTAAGCCCAAAGATTAGAGTATTTGTCTTTACCCTTTTGGCAAAATACAAGAAACCCAAGGAGGGAGAGGACTTCAGTTGAAAAAAGGGAAGCAAATTCTCAAATAGAGAGAAGAGAGGGGTTCCCACTCTCAAACCAATGGACAAGGAAACAAATCAGGAGGCCCCAACCCTTGGGAGACAGATGGGCTAGGTAGACATTATAGAACCCAAGAACATTCCGGATAATAGGATGGATAGAAAATCGAAGACCAGCCCAGAATGTGAACTCGAAGAAACAAGTGAGTCTAGGGAGAGTAGAGTTACACCTTTTTGTGCTTCTCGGGGGAGTGCAATTTCACGAAGTCAGGGAAGCAATACTCATGCCTCAATTCCCCCAAATCCTCATCACCAAGATAGCTGGAGGTCCCCTCCGCACAACAGGTCAGGTCAGATGACTCACGACGAATTCTCTTCTTAGGAATGGGGAGCGAAACTGGCCCGATTTTCCTCTTCTTCGGTTAAGTGGGAAAATCAGGAAGCAGAGCAAAAAAGGGCCCAACTTTGACTAGAGGCACTGAGGATAAAACTGAAGGAATAGATTCAGGAGCCTCACCGCCAGTGGAAAGAGAACGACCACTAAAGGAAGCCGTGGTGGTCTCCTCGGCCTCCCTATCAACAAACTCCGACTCGAAAGAAGAAATGACAAACTTCCCCATCAAAAGGTCGGATCTTGCACCAGAGTGAAGGGAAGGTAAATGCAAGGCATAATCCGCCAAAAACAAAGGTTTCAAGCACCAAGTCCTAAGAAAGGATGCCCTCCCCACTAAAGAATGGCCTACAAATTGCGAAAGAGAAGAAAGGTCGTTGGAGTGTTCTCTAAAATGACTAAACCTCTAGATCAGGAAGCGGAATCCAAAACCCCACCAAGGAGGGTTGAACGGATCCAGGTCGAAATAATAAAAAAGAAGAGAAGAAAGTCGTACCTAGTAAAACGCTAGAGGTAGAGGAGAACCAGAGACGAGAATGTCCTAAGTCACCAAAAAGTCTAGAGCAAGACACTTCGAAAGCGTAGAGAAAGAGAGGGGCATGAAGGAAGATGGGACTTGAAACCACAGAACGAAAAAGGCCAAGGGACCTTCCCCCTAGAGGAACATATATGTATGTGTGAAGCATTAAATTCATGACAGGCAAATAACAGGACACGCCACACAAGTCGTACCCACGAGCTCAACCGATGATGACATGTGTGCATTATTATCCCATCATCGCCGGCAAACAGAGGCGTGGCCCAATCTTGATCAGGACCAATAGCCGAGCACAGTTGTCACTTAAAAAACCTATAACGAGCCCAGAAAAATCATTTTTAACCCCAGACCAGAGATGGTAACATCTTCATAACCTGGGGCTGGGGGGCAACTGATACGGCCGAAATTCAAGGCCAAGGCCTTCATGGCCCAGAAGCCTAACCAGCCCAAAAGGTCCGGAGTAAAGAAGAAGAACCTAGCATCAGCAGAAGGCTTATAACCCAACAATCCAGGCCCAGTCCAAACCATAAACAATCCAAAGGTTGAAAGTCTAGTCTAAATGCTACTTCTGGATCGCCAGTGGGGACCACGCACCCTAAGGATCCAAGAGACCACTCTTGACACCTACGATAATATTAGAGAAAGTGGAGCGCCAAGCCACCAGAGATCGTGGCAACGGCAGCGCCGGATGAACAGATGTGCCAGATGAACAGTGATCGTAGTGATAAAAGAAGTGAGAAGGTGCAGAGAGAAGGGCTTGAAGGATCAGTACTAAGGGAAAGACAGCTAAAGACCCTTGGAGATACCCTAATATAAATAGAAAACGATAACCTGGCGAGGGGGAATATCTTCTTGGACCCGTAAGTATTCTAGAGCCAAAAAAAAGGATACCAAGAGAGAATAGCTAGATACTCACTCCTTGTAAAAGGACTTCGGATCCCCAGTTTTAGGGGGCACACCTCTAATCCATTAATATACAAACCCAGGGAGCAAGAGACTCCATTGATAGTGGACGTAGCCTTAGTCTATCGGCTAAAGTGAACCACTTACATTCCCTGCCTAACTGTTCACGAAAGATTAATCCATAATTTGCAAAACCTACTCAGAAAATCGCCCCATCCTCGTTGGGCTTGGGCCATAAGATCCGAGCACCATCAGTGTATATGTGGAATATATTGATCCATTTACTTCCTCCATGACATCGAATGCTCTGAATTTAGTTAAATTGGTCGGACAAAGAGTACATTTTAGTATGCTTCATCTCAATACTTTGACCATGAGGCTTCATAACAATATCCCACAAAAGTTCAATGCTAATAACAAAGTGTTCATCAATACAAATAGAAATATTCTTAATTTTATGACCCAATTCTCAACCCATTGAGGTCCATTTGCAGAACTGTACAAACAATAGTGCTAGAGTCCCTGACTTATATATAACAGATAACGGAATTCCATATTTTCCTCTCCCAAACAATCCTTTAAAAAATGACCAGAAGCATAGTACCACCCACACACTGCATATGATCTCCCCTACCCCTGAACCATCTCCACCACGAGTCGTCAATCGGAACCTTAACAACATGAGGGCCAACGCGGCCAAGTTCACCAACAAAATGGCAGTGCCGGGCACAAAAACCGGGGACTCATCAAATGTGAACCTTCCTGCATTAGCATTGGTGTCATCGGCACCAATGGTTTGGTCTTTCTTTGTAACCTCAAACATAGTCTCGAATAATCCTAGAAGTTTGAGTATAACACTTAGAAATCCAAATAACCATGATGTCATAGATATGATTCTCCACATTTTGTGGTTGTTCCACCATGCCCAGATTGACAAGTCTGCCCGTAAGTACTCCGATGCAGAGTATATATTGTAGATGATAAAGAGGACAAAGGGTATGAGTATGGCCGGTTCTTGGACCTGCATGTACAAAATGCTAAACAGTAATGCATACATGGCATGGGTAGCACGAGACAGTAAAACAAGAGGGTTATGATTTGTCATCACCTTGGGTAAGAAGTGTGAGTTGGTGAGAATACAGTAAGCCGGCAGAGTAGCGTAACATAGCTCTGGAATGGATCGTAAACCCCACACCAGAAGCCACATGTAACCTAGGAATTGGCGGAAGTGAAGCTTGCCTTTGGAGAGAAAAAGTATTGGGCTTTTTGGGCTTAAAACAATTTCCAGAAGCCCAGTGGACCATCTCTTCTGCTGGATCAATGTGGTGGGCCCACTCGAGGGAGCGCTTCCAAGAAAAGCAGGAGGATCGGGTGTTAAATACGTAGATTTCCAACCCCTCCCATGGATAGTAAGCCCAGTTAGGACATCTTCTGTTGCCGATCCATATATCAAACCAATCTGTAATATGCCAGAAACCACTTACTTATTAAGAAAGGAGAAGGATCGTGGACTCAAAGTTCATCTTTCCTTTTTATTTGGTTTCATTGTCAGCGGTGTTGGAATTAATTTCCACACGTCTCGACTAATTTTCAATCTAATCAAAGATAGATTATTCACATCAGAAGTAGGGTATTTATACCTCTACTAATCTCCGGTCTAGTTAAAGATAGACCATCCATGTTGAATATAGCGGTCTGGTCAAAGATAGATTATCCATGTCGAAAGTATGGTATTCATAGCTCGACTAATCTCCGATCCGGTCAAAAATAGACCATCCACGTCGAAAGTAGGATATTCATGAATGATAGATCCCTCATGGCTTGATCACAAGGTGTTGTTAAAATTCAAACTCATGACATCTGCGTTTAAGACTCGTCTTTATTACAACTTGAGCTATCCCTTGGAGTTAATTCAAAGTTCATCACGAATAATAAAAATTCCATATATAGCTAGGTTTTTCATGTGGACGAGAAAAGTAGAATAGAAAATTCTTGATATGAATAGTCAATCAGACACAAAATCAATACGAAATTAATAGTTAAGAGCCTGGATCATGGTCGAGTTGAAATGGTAGACTCATTCAATAACGGATTTACAAGAATCCAATCGTAGACACATAACATGAATCTGATATGACACCGGCACCAACCTATGTATATACATGATAAATTAACTTGGCATAAAGACACAATACAAATTTAATATGATACGATTTATTAATGGTAATTGAGGGGGAGATAAAAAAAAATGTCTAATCACCTTTTCACCCCAGCTGGTACCATGTTCATAGCCACAACTTGCAACTTGGTATGCTGCCTCAATAGAACTTGAAATACCACCTCTATTCTCAGGATTTATGACATTGTATCCTGATATAACCTGAGCTGCTGATTTGGAGAATTTCATTGACTTTCCAAATGTTTTCTGCAAATTCTCATCACCCAATTCTCCTGATAAGAAGAAAACAACACTCTAATCTTCAATCACGTTACTATCTCGGTTATTCCAGTACTAGCAATAATCCTATGCCCGAAGACAATACTAAAAATTGAGCATTAACTATACACACTAAGAGGTTGGATCAATTGCCGTGACAAGTGTTCATCATCTGAAATATTCTGTTGTATAATTGAGTATGGGAATTGATCTTTCCAAAATATGAATAATTTTTTTCTACCAATTGAAGGAACCAACATGTTTGAGAGGCAAAAGCTATTCCACATCGACTGGAAAAAAAAAAAAGGGTTTAATATACAAAGTTTGAAACAAACAATTTTAGCTTGAACTAAAGTTTTTGGTTCAAGTTTGAATCCAACTTAAACCACGTAAAACACGAGAAAAAAACGTAAAAAAGTTTAATATACAAAATTTGAAACAAACAATTTTAGCTTGAACTAAAATTAGGGTAGCTAGCGAATGATATACGAGGCAAAACCGTAAAAAGTACTTTTAGAATTTGGTCACATAGTTGACGATGATTCACATACCGTTGGTTACAGTTCTATTTGGTGATAAACCATATATAACTTTTCTTCTGTGAAAACACCCTGTTCCTGAATAAAAAGGTCCTTGTATCCCCGCAATTCCACTCACCATATACTGGATTAGACGCAACAAAAAAGGTGGTTTAATAAGTTAATCAAACAGAAAGTTTCCACATTAACAANTCCCTTGGAGTTAATTCAAAGTTCATCACGAATAATAAAAATTCCATATATAGCTAGGTTTTTCATGTGGACGAGAAAAGTAGAATAGAAAATTCTTGATATGAATAGTCAATCAGACACAAAATCAATACGAAATTAATAGTTAAGAGCCTGGATCATGGTCAAGTTGAAATGGTAGACTCATTCAATAACGGATTTACAAGAATCCAATCGTAGACAAANGCTAAATGAAAATTAGAATGGAAGAAGCAGAAAATGAAACTTCAAGGATAAAGGTGCAATTAATCACAAAATTAATTTATAGAGTGAAGGTTAAATTACATTTTATCCCTTGGACTTTAACCAAGGAATACTTTATACCCCCTTACAATTTTTTTCACAATTTTATAGTTACACTAACTTTTATACTTTAATACAATTTTTTTTTGTTCTCTCTCTAAAATACTCCAATGATCGTCTCTCTTCTCTCTTTCATCCATTAAGTATACGTTTCAATCAGTAAATCAAAATGTTAGAGATAAAAAATTAGAAAAATAAAAAAGATGAAGAGTACTATTGTGCCTTTTATTCTCTGAACTCGCTAGCTACACTATCCAAAATTTTTAAGGTGAAAATCGTAATTTTTATAAAAAAAGAAAAAGGTATATAAAATAATTTTAACGTAAACCAGGTAATGTATTTGAGAATAGAATTAAAACGAAAAGGTTACTAAATTTCACTCACTTTAAATAAAACCACCAACTGATTTCCAAATGGGTCATCCTTGAGTCCATCATAGAAGCATTGTGGATATTGAACAAAGCCACTGTCCATTTCATTCTTGACACCAAGCAGCATGCACATTGCATGAAGAACAATCTTGGGATTGTTGGCATACATATCGCAGTCTACATTCAGCATGAAAGGAGCATTTGTCATCACTCCTGACACTCTGATCTGTTCACAAGCACAAACAATCGTAAAATTAATTTATTAGGGACGAGGTTGACTCTATAATACCATATTTAATCTTGTATTCGGATCTCAAGTTATGACTCAAACATATCATTACTGCAACTCAACAAGGTTCGGTTCAGTAAAGTCAAATTGTTCTCAACTTCTGTTTAAGTCATAACCCGACCAGTTTAATTATAACTTTTTTATAGTGCGAAAAAATCAACTATAACATTTATAGTATTTCCATGCATAGAGAATAAAATATTATGGGTTAATTAGACTTTATCTTCTGTGATATAGGAATCTCTGACCAGAACATTCATGGCACCAGCTTTGAAATGATGTGGATGCTTTGGAAGCTTCTCTCTGGAGATGTAGACCAGATGAGGCAAACCATTGGGAAGATCTTCCTTGTTCTCCCATATAACCTAAAAAAAACATTACTTCAAATAAGTCCACAATAAATTAGAATAAATAATATTAAACGGGATTGTTAAGTTTGAATAACGTATGAAAACAAATTTGTATTTAATGTACAAGATTATCATTTATTATGATGTTTAAGAAAAATAGGTGACAAACAATTCTATTCTTATTTAAAAAAAAAAACTAATTTCTAAAATTAAATCGGAGATGCCTCTTTCTTCTTCTTCTTTTTTTCCCAATAGGGTACGGCATCTTATTCTGACCGATGATCTCTTTCTTCACTAAGCTCAATAGTTTATCATAAGATTTGTCCTAATTCCCATATTACTTTGTTTTAATTTGAAATAGTTAGTATATAGCTCAGCAATTCTTTTTTTTTTTGTTTAAAAGTCAAAGGTATCCAGATTAATTTATACATATTTCGACTAATGTCCTTTTCGGTCCAATCAAAAGTAGGTCATTCCGGCACGCCGGGATTAGAGAATTCGTGAGAGATAAATTCTTCATGGTCTGACTCCAAAAAATTATCAAAATTTAAATTCAGGACATTTAAATTTTTAACTCATTTTTATTACATAGCTCAGCAATTCAGACAAGTAAATTAAACTATAATTATTGAAAAAAAATTTCTAGTACTTATTTGACTTTTGTGTAGCTGAAATCCATTTATTAATATTATTATGATTCACCATATTTTCCAGAAAGTGACATCCAAAAATTAAAAACAAAATGTAAACGACAATCAATGAGTGTTTCAATTTATGTACTTATATTCTTGTCCAGGTGTGTTCCTACTTCCTAGAATACCATTTCCCATTTCAATCTTATTGGAAAAATAGTTAGATTCTATCCGACCTCAACTCAACAAAATCTTGTTCTAATATTTTTGAGGTCAACAGCATAAATCTTGCTTTGTCNAGAGAATAAAATATTATGGGTTAATTAGACTTTATCTTCTGTGATATAGGAATCTCTGACCAGAACATTCATGGCACCAGCTTTGAAATGATGTGGATGCTTTGGAAGCTTCTCTCTGGAGATGTAGACCAGATGAGGCAAACCATTGGGAAGATCTTCCTTGTTCTCCCATATAACCTAAAAAAAACATTACTTCAAATAAGTCCACAATAAATTAGAATAAATAATATTAAACGGGATTGTTAAGTTTGAATAACGTATGAAAACAAATTTGTATTTAATGTACAAGATTATCATTTATTATGATGTTTAAGAAAAATAGGTGACAAACAATTCTATTCTTATTTAAAAAAAAAAACTAATTTCTAAAATTAAATCGGAGATGCCTCTTTCTTCTTCTTCTTTTTTTCCCAATAGGGNGGTTTAATATACAAAGTTTGAAACAAACAATTTTAGCTTGAACTAAAGTTTTTGGTTCAAGTTTGAATCCAACTTAAACCACGTAAAACACGAGAAAAAAACGTAAAAAAGTTTAATATACAAAATTTGAAACAAACAATTTTAGCTTGAACTAAAATTAGGGTAGCTAGCGAATGATATACGAGGCAAAACCGTAAAAAGTACTTTTAGAATTTGGTCACATAGTTGACGATGATTCACATACCGTTGGTTACANCTTTTTTTTTTTGTTTAAAAGTCAAAGGTATCCAGATTAATTTATACATATTTCGACTAATGTCCTTTTCGGTCCAATCAAAAGTAGGTCATTCCGGCACGCCGGGATTAGAGAATTCGTGAGAGATAAATTCTTCATGGTCTGACTCCAAAAAATTATCAAAATTTAAATTCAGGACATTTAAATTTTTAACTCATTTTTATTACATAGCTCAGCAATTCAGACAAGTAAATTAAACTATAATTATTGAAAAAAAATTTCTAGTACTTATTTGACTTTTGTGTAGCTGAAATCCATTTATTAATATTATTATGATTCACCATATTTTCCAGAAAGTGACATCCAAAAATTAAAAACAAAATGTAAACGACAATCAATGAGTGTTTCAATTTATGTACTTATATTCTTGTCCAGGTGTGTTCCTACTTCCTAGAATACCATTTCCCATTTCAATCTTATTGGAAAAATAGTTAGATTCTATCCGACCTCAACTCAACAAAATCTTGTTCTAATATTTTTGAGGTCAACAGCATAAATCTTGCTTTGTCATTGTGTCATTTTAAGGCTAATATTTTATGTTAAACTATAATGTCATCATATCATTTTATTTTATTTTTTATTATTTATTTATTTATTATTTTTTTTTCTTTTACTCTTTTGATTATCGTCAAAGGGGTAGATGATGGCCCGTCAACAGATCGGATTTTAACGGATTGGTAATTTGACAAATTATATTTTCATGGTTCATATCCGAATCCATTAACATTCCAAAAATTTGATCTAATCCGAATAATTTAATTAACTAAATTTTAACGAATTATACCTAAATTTCATTAATAATTACGAAACTTTTTTAATATTTATATAAAAACATATAAATAATTTAGATCGGATACAAGTATATCCAAATTTAAATCAGTGAAATATAAAATATCGGATTCAGTTAATGTAAATATGTGTCTAGTAAATAATGGATTACCTTTATTATAGTAGGATGGTTCCTGCGCTCTACATGTGAAAATGCTGCAAATTCCCCTGTAAAGTCCCATGGCTCAGATCTTTGCGTTGCTTCTTCAATCTTTTGGCAAAGCAGTTCGTATTCATCCTACAAAAAAGATGAAAACAATCGTTTCCATACGGAATACGTCAAATTTGTTAAAATATAAATACTTAAGTTGAACTCATCTTTAACGGTTTAACTTGGTAGAATAAGAAGTCATGTATTCAAATCTTATCGTCACCCTAATTATTGCACGTGAGAGTGTATAAATACTTAAGTTACACCGTCTTTTATCAGGTGTGCACGTCACATGACACTATGTGCTGTATTAAACGCACTCTAACTTGTTTCGTGCATAACCCTCTACTTTCTACAATGTAACGCCTGCCAATTATGTCCACAAAGGGAATTGATTACCTTAATCTTTTTCCACTCTTGTTGGAACTCCAATGAACTGTCTTTGGACGATGATAAGGGCTCACCATTAAAGTATCGAAATGGAGCTCTAACAGGAATGTTATGCTTCTTACAAAATGGAACCCAAAGCTTAGCAAACTTAGATGCTTCAATGAGAGCGAAGAAGGTGAGAGGAGAACAACCATCGTCGGATACGTAGCAAGCTAGCTTGTTGGCTGGGTAATCGACGGCTAACAAGGAGACTACAGTGTTCACAGTGATAATCGGCGGTTCTAGGTCGGCATCGGCCGTGGTAACGAACATGTCCACCGGGGGAAGCTCATGAGCGGGTTTCCTAGTTGGAATAAGAACAAAGAAAAAAGACCATACGATTTGTTAAATTCATGAATGTTATCTTACAAATGAATTGAACTAAGATCGGAGTTGAATCAGAGTATAACTTATTAATTATTGTTCATATAATAAATAAATCGAGCTTGACTTCAAGCTTAATCTCAATTTTAAAGTTGTTTTAATAAGCGAATCAATTTTAAATAATGACTTGTTCGGCTATGGATCCGAATCCTTTGCTGCTGCTGTTAATTTTTTTATAACAATGAAACGATACCATTTGATTAAATAAAACAACATCGTTTTAATGTAAAACGACATCATTTTAAAGAACAAAGTACAGTAGAGGATCCGGACTCTTCAGCTGGTGAACATATTTATACTTGAGTTTAAGGCTAGAACACAAGTCAGAAGCTTGGTGAGTTTAATTAGAAAAGGTAAGCTAAGTGGTGCTCGAACTTGGAGAAAAAATTCAAAGACCCAATCCCGAGCAGTTCCTGAATATTCTTCATTTCATTCATTTGAACCCCTAGATGTTATACATATGGTAAACAAGTAACAAGCTTAGATAAGGGTGGCAGAGTGGAGAGAGAGAGAGAGAGAAGTTATCTGATACCACTGCAAGAGGCGTTCTGGGTATGTTTTGATATATATTTGATTCCATTTGTTGTTCAATGTAAGAATCCAGATGAAAGTGAACCATGACTCGCAGCAAAACGCAAGAACCCAAGCCCAGCCATGGTCTCTGAAATGGAGGTGACGATAAACAAGGAGTGAGAGGAGAAGAAAAAGAATGATGAGTTCCACAGCTCGTGGTATGGTATTTTTACGAGGGTTTTGTTCTTGAAGAGGGAGAGGGGCTGGTTTCGCCATTTGTACAAAGTGTGAGTTTATGCCTTCTTGTCGTGGATATTTATAGCAGATTTGGTCATATAAGCGTGACAATTTTTGACACCACACAATAATTAGGTACGAACACGACATGAATAAATAGATTTGAATTAATTATTTTTTTGTACAAATCCGTATGACATGACCCATCAACACAAAGTGTTAATGAGTCATGTATGAGTTCAACCCGTTTAACACGAATTGACCCAATTGACCCGTGTATTTAATCGGGTTGACAAGAACCCATCTGACCTGTTTTGACCCGAATTGACCCACCACTATATAATGACTTGTGGAGATTTGTATTTGTTTTGAAATATTTGTAATGTTTTTAATGCCTTTGTTTTATGCAAGTGGAGATTTGTATTTGTTTTAAAATATTTGTGATGTTTTTAGTGTCTTTGTTTTATGTAAAATAGGTCTAAATTTTTTCTTTTTTTATTAGGTCATGTCGGGTTAGGTCATGTTAGGCGGATTGAGTCAAGTTTACCCGAACACGACTTGTGTAAATCTCGTATCACAGGTCATGTCGGGTTAGTCGTGTTTCAAATTAGATCGTGTTCGTGTCCAAATGATCAAACCCGTTTAACTCACAAGTAGTGTTTGGGTTGATGTGTTTTCAACCCGAACTCGACATGATATGATCCAAACATAACACGACACGATACGATTGTCACCACTATGATTATGGTTATTATTATTATTTTTTTCAGCCATTCGGTATTATAAGAAACAAATGACAAAGTTAAAATTCATAACCTCAAGATTGAACAACGAAGACAATGATCCATTTGACCAATCACTAACCTCTTGTCATTATAATTCATCGTACAAAACTACCTATGAATATTTTATTAAGTGGTTCTTGTGTGACCAAATATTTACATCATAGTTATAGTTCAAATGATACCAAAATCTCAACAAACAAGAGAGCCCAACACTATCTCATTTTTTATTTGAATTTTGCCACATATTTGAGATACAGATTTGTTCTCAAATTTGGTCAATCTAGGGTATTTTACTAATTTGGTGATGTACTCGTACTCAAGGCAATTCAATCTACTCTACTTGGTCTCTCTCAATTCTCTTGAAATTTCTGCTAACTAAGAGCTCAACAGATAAGGATGAATTATAAATTTAGGTGTTTGAAATTTAAATATTGACAATCTTTTACGGTCAGATCATAAGAGATAAATCTCTCATAAATACCTTAGTCTTGACGTGGATGATCTACTTTTAACCAAATCTAAGAGGAAATTAGTCGAAATGCATATAAGCTGAATAAGACACTCTTCACGGTTGAAAAAAAAAAACAGTTTGACGTGCCTCACAAGTCAGAGCCTTTTGAGAGGCATGTTGAACGTGGGCATTAGGGGAGTCAAGAAAATGGCTCCAATTATCTCATGCAACTTGTCGAACGTTGGTATATTTATATATGTACTAACAATTGTCCGTACCTGAAAACACTATATAACAAATAAAAAAAATGACAATTAGAAGGCACACCAATTAGAAGACCGATAAGTTAGATGAAAGTATAAATCCTAGTGATTAGCTCAAGAATGTACTCTTCCTTACATCAGTATCCACTATTGCAACATTCAATCAATTTATCTTCAACTCTTGGATCAAAAAAAAAAATTTATCTTCATCTCCAACCACCTATTTACCAACACTATTACTAACAACATATTTTAAATATGAATATCCAAAAATAATAAAAAAGTAACACAATATATATTATTTTAAAACAATGACAAAATATTAAGAGAATACAACCTATTGTAAAATATATTGGATAGTCATTACTATCAATTACCTATTATCTACAACTCTATTTTTGCATGTATTCATCATAAACCATACCCCTTCAATATCAATTCAAACCTAATAAGTTCAAAACTTCAATACCAATTCGATCGGCCTAAAATGCACTCTCAACCAAGTCTTCACACGTCCATACAACTACAACCAGAAAAAAATTTAATTAACCAAGTGTATAACCAAGCAAAGATCATATACACAATTTAAACTTAAAGTTGATGAATAACAAAGAAATGAAGTGGAGCTGCAGATCCAGTAAGTAGGAAAAGCCAATACCATGAGAAAAGGACCCCCCCTGAAAATTTCCTTAAAAAATGATGTCATGCCACAAGATGTAAATTATTGCTTAACTCTAGTCACAAATGGGCAGCCAAAGAAAATTTATATTGCAAGCAGTCATATCCATATTGTACATGAACACGAATTGTATTGTCATATCATTGACAAACTAAGCATTATCAATTGTAAGTGGGACTATGAATGTACCCATTTCATTAATTTGGTCATTTAAGCAATAATAATATGATTCCAAACTCCTTAAGCAATCATGCTAAGAGTTTATATAAATATATTTTTTAAATTTTTTCCGGTCTTAAATGAAACTTAATTCATTTAAAATGCTTGGCCATAACAAAATACATCTATTGGTTGGACCAATGACAAAAAAAGTATTGTCGAGATACATACACACATTCTGATTAAAAAAAAAAAAGAAGAAGAAAATACATATGCACATGACTTCAAGATTGATCGAGATGTGGACCAACTGCATTCCACAAATAGCCATAACTACACCTAACAGAGAATATACCTACGCATATTCATTCGCATTCACTTAAAATCATCAGATCGGTTCATGGCAGTACAACGTTTATGAGTTTATAGTTTGATCAAAGAAATGAAACAATCAAACATACATTAAAATACAATCTAACACTTGAGACATTTCATCAAACAAACTATGTGCGTAGTGGGTGTGGACAACCAAAAATCCTCCATGTTACTTTACCTGGACAACATCAATTGCATAAATCTCAACTACCAACAAAGCATTGACACTTGCTTACGCATAGAAATAACTATCCAAAAATGCAAGAACTTAGAGGCAAAACTATCATCTAAGAATAAACACCCATACGATAGAAAGCATTTAGATGCCACACACACCTCAAACAAAAAGTGACACAATAAAACTACAAACTTATACAATAATATCCAAGATCCAATAAAAAAATTAAACCTCTTGATCAAAGATTTAATTTTAAGTATAACATAAAAATCAGATGGCGTCAAGGAATTTGGATGGTGTGCACTAACAAAATGGTTTTACTTAATAAAACTGTTATAGGGTGAACTGGAGTAACAAAATTTAACAAGCAATACCTGCGGTCTAGGGACATTGCTAATGGGTGGGAGTGAGAGATAGCATTGACGTGGCTGTTGTTATACACACGTCCTCGATAGACTACTTTTGTACCCACAAAAATAATTGATTACTAAAAGGTCAGAACATCATCACCATCAAACAACAAAGAAAAGGTAATAATTTTTTTTTTTTTTGGCCTAAAATAGAAAAGAAAAGTAAAAGGTTTGGGATGTTGCTAATGGGTTGTTGTCGTCTAGCGGTGGTTTTGCTTCATAGAAAAGAGTAGCGATGGAGCTTTGGATGTGAGAGAGAATTGGGCATGAGAGAAAGCTGGGCGTGTTGAGCAATGGATGGCGATGGCAGTTGTTTGGCGGTGGTTTTGCTTCGCAGAAGAGGGCAGTGATAGGGAGGTGGATGTGACAGAGAGATGGGCGTGAGAGATAGGGGGATGAGTTTGGGGTGAATATTGAGAAGGATCCATGAGAGAGATTTTGGGGATGAGTTTGGAAGGCAGTGGTTTCGGGGAATAGAAAGGGTGAGCGTAATAGAGATAGAGGCGTGAGATTGGCAGAAGATTTGAGATTGGCAGAGAGAGGCAGAAGTGAAATTGGGAAATATTTGAGAAATTTCAGAGAAGAGAGAAAGGTGTAGTCAGGCAAACAGATTAAAATTGGCCTTGATCGGTGGCGATAAAGGAATGAGAAAGAGAAATTTGAGGAAAGTTAAAAGAGAAAAGTTAAAAGCCCTGATAATTAAAAAAGGAAACATTGTTTGGCAGGAAAATAAAATTCAGTACTCACTGTAAACCGTCGGATGAGTATTTATGAGATAATCTGAACCGTTTTTTATGTTGAGATTACGTTGTTCGTTGGATGTGTTTATGTTTTGTCTC